AAATAGAGATTCCTGATATTACAGGTCAAATGCACTACCATAGGTTTTAATGTATTTAGAGAGATGCTTGCAAAAAATAAAAATCCTCTCAGAAAAAGATCAGAATCAAAGATACTGAATACTGAATAATGAATAATTATTCATATGAATAATTTATGCCTCCTAAAATTTACCATTTAAAACATTTTCATTTTGACTATTATCAATAAATATATTTTATAACACCTTTCAAATCAATAACTAATAAACAAATTGATTCTTATCAATGTCACAGTTAAAATACCAAGTATAGATCTATGCTGCCTACTAAAGCAGCCATGAATCCTATACATGGTCCACATAGCATTTGAAGTGTGGCTAATCCAAATTAAGATGTAATGTAAGTATAAAACATGAGTGAATTTTAAAGAATTGGTATAAAATGGATGGAAAATATGTCATTAATAATTTTATATTCGTTGTAGTTTTATAATATTCTAGACATATTGATGGTATAGAATAAATTAGCATTAATTTTTACCTGTTTTTATTTTTAATATAGCTAGATCACTTAAGATCATACACATGACTTGTATCATGTGTTTATTAAGTTACAATACTCTAAAACTTTTAATTTAATGAAGAGAATGTACTATAAGAATGTACTATTAGAAAACTATGCACACAAAAATAGTTGCATTTTAAAAATATGACCTAACATACAATCAACTAGCCTCTTACAGTGCATTTTCAACGAGAAGCTCAATACTTTTAAATTAATACTTAAAATACTTATTTCTAATAAATTGTTCTTATGTTAAACTGAAATTCAGTCAGAAAAGAATTTCTGTTTATTGATTCCAGTTATTCACTTCAGAACACACATAATGATTTAAGAAACTAATATTGTATAATGGCGTTTTAACCAAATATACAGTTATGTTTGGGAAATCAGACTGCATGGTTTGAAGTTTATGGTTCTGTTATCTATCCTGGATAGTTATTCTGTTTTCAACAGTATCATCTGAAGTTGTTTCAGATCTTCTTTTTATTTTTTTTAAGGTACTTAATGGCATTAGTCTATTCCTAGCACTTGACCAGTTGTTAATGTATGTGGCCATGTCAACTGGTGAATCAGTGTAGAAATAGTTTTAGTTAAAGGGCTACTTGAAATGTTTATGCTGGCTGGTGCCGGTGACTCACACCCGTTATACTAGCTACTCAGGAGGCTGAGAGATAAGGATCACAGTTCAAAAGCAGCCTGGGCAGAGAAGACTTTATATCCAATAAACACAAAAAGATGGAAGTGGTTCTGTGGCTCAAGTGGTAGAGCACTAGCCTTGAGCATGAAGAGGCTCAGGGACAGTGCACAGGTCAAGAGTTCAAGTCTCAGGATCAGAAAGAAGAAAAGAAATGTTTATTCTGCCACCCCATTTTCCTATTAGTGGTCTTCATTGACTTTTTACTTCATAAAATATGTACTTATGAGTTCCTGAATCTAGCTAAAGTTAAACCAACTCTTTAACTTCATGAGTGTCTTTATATTATTATTATAAAGGTGATATACAGAGGGATTACAGTTACATAAATCAGGTAATGAATACCTTTCTTTTGGGACAATGTCACCCTCATAAATGTTCTTGAAATTCATCTCACTTACATTGTAGCCTATCTTTTATATCTCCAAAAATTATCTGGTACAAAAAAATAATTCCCTGGGGCTGGGAAGGTGGCTCAGTGGTAGAGCACTTGCTTTGCATGCATGAGGCCCTGGGTTTGATTCCTCAGCACCACATAAGCAAAAAAGAAAAAAGCCAGAAGTGGCGCTGTGGCTCACGTGGTAGAGTGCTAGCCTTGAGCTGAAGAGCTGAGGGACAGCGCCCAGGCCCAGAGTTCAGGCCCCATGACTGGACCCCCCCCCAAAAAATAATAATAATTCCCTGGTTAAAACACATACAAAGCCTTTGCATTTTTCTTTAGACAATTTTTTATATTATTGAAGTTTTGGTTTATGGAATGATAAATCTTTACCTATCTGGGGTCCAAATTTCTCAGAGTTTTATGATTTTTAAAAAATATTAAAAAATAGAAGTATTTTATGCCATAAAATACTTATTATGAAATAATAAAAAATTAAAATATTTTAAAAATATTACCATATCATACAGAATTTACCTCTCAAAAACATATTTTCAACAGAGTCAAATCTTGAACTGAGTCAATTCCTGGTTTTCATTTGAGATTTATTGGACATTTATTTATGGCAGATGGATTGAGTTATTGGAGAAATACCAATAGTCAACATTTACTGAACATTTACTACACCACTGCAACACAACAATATTATGAGATAACTCCTCTTGCTTTTATGTCACAAATGATGATATTGAAGGTCAAAGAAGATTGATGACTTGTCCATGGTTACTAAGCTAGTGAATGTTGAAACCCAGATTCAATGCAAGCATTTTCATTCAAGAACCTGTGGTCATCACTAGAAAAGGCAAGGCATTTTGAGAGGTGATAACAGAAAATCACCACATGGCCTGCAACAAAACTTACTTGCAGAACACTTAACTAATGCTGAGAAGTTTCTGGGGCAACACTAGGAGAAGTCTTGACTATCATGTTATCAGCAGATTTAAACTTCATTCAATTTGTTTTTATTAAATTTATAAGGCTCCTGAGCAGGTAAATAATACAATAAAAGAAATGTTTGGGCTCAGATTGTCCTGTTTACTGTATACATCATGGACTTGGGGTTTGTAAGGAAGGAGATTTTTCTGTCTGGAAGTTATTACTTATCATGTGTGAGAACACATAAATGATAGAAAAATATTTGCCCCGATGACTGAGAAAATCAATTTATAAAACTAGGAAAGTTTATTATAAGATTTTTTGAAAGAAAGATAATGATAGCAGTTCTATACATGCTGAATTTTATGTAAGAAATGGTAGGCTATTAGAAAGTCTAGATTGTGATTCAATTGTGAGGTAACAGATAAAGACAGCAATTTGCCAAAGTCAACTATTTGAGAGACAAGAAAATTATAACTTAATTGACTGAAGAAAGTATATGTTGTTATTGAAAAAGCATTTGGGGAAGGATATAGAATCCCAAATTTTGAGACTTTAAATTTACTGTATTTGAGTCTAGGGAGAGAAGATGAGCTAGAAAAGCAGGTAGAGCAAAACAGGGCAAACTTACCATGTTATTTTGATATCAAGTGTTCAATAAGAGTTATAAACATCATCACATATGCAGGAAGTTGTCTTTAACATACAGTCGCCTTTATTAATTGCCAGCAATTTGAACTAGATTTCAATGAAATAAAACACCATCCAATTGTTATTATGTAGCTAGAATGCTAAAGGATACTAATCATATTATGTTTGCTTTCCTCCAAATTTTATATGATTTTGAGCTATAAAGTGCTAATAATAGAAACATGAATACCATTTGTGTATTTCTGTTACTCATAATAATTCACAAAACTATAATGTTTTTTGTGCCTATTCTGAGACTTGAACTCAGGGCTTTGTGCTCTTTCTTGGCTTTTCCCCTCAAGGCTGGTGCTCTATTCTTTGATCTACACTTTCACTTCTAGCTTTTTGCTCATTAATTGCTGACAAGAATCTGACACATTTGGCAGCCTGGGCTGACTTAAAGCTGTGATTCTCAGACCTTAGTCTTCCAGTAGCTAGGAGTACAGGCATGAACCTCTGATTTCTTGCTATTATGATACTTCAAATGACATATGATCACTAGTGTTTCAAAAGTAGTACTATAAAAAGTCACTTTTTAAATTGTGAGATATATAGAATTGGCTAGAATTTGTGTATTTATATTCTATGTCCAGATGAATGTTATTTGATTATTCAAGTTTTTATTAGTTGCAGACTACTTTTAGATATTTTATTTGCCTTTGAATACTCATCCTTACTGCCTTCAGGAACTTTCATCTAGTAAAGACAGAGTCAATCTGTAGCAGCACAGAATGTGACCAGGAAATAATAGGTAGGGACCTATATTAATAGGATGCTGAATGCAATTATCCTGGGTTTAGGTCACTGGGGGTTGTTCCTGAATTGATTTATATAAAGTGAAATAGCCCTAAAGGAAACGAGATTTTGTATGTCATCAATTAGTTTGGAAAAGTTCTCAGGTATAAAATAATTTCTATGTTTTAATGGGAGAAAAAATACAACATAAAGAGTAAAGAGGTATTTTAACAGAACATTAATGATTAAGGGCTATCTACTTGTTGGGCCATTTTATTTTCAATATCTTCTCATTCACCATTCCTTTTCAAATGTTTCATTTAGAAAATCAAAGGATTTTAAAGGTTTTTGAGACTCTGGTCTCAACATATCAAATATTAAACTTAAGGAATCTGTAATGCTTGTAAGGTTCGAAAACATATTCAGATACCTTATGTCTAATAATCTGTATCCATTTGTATGAATTTATAGCATCTAAGAAAACATTCCTGTAGCAAGCTAATGGCATTGTTTATCTTAGCTGGGCATGCCTGCCAATTCTGCCATGCTAAAAATGTCATTTACATTATCTGAGCACATTGCTGTGTAATTTTTCTAAAGATAAGGCAACAATTTAATATTTCTACCTGTTTACTATTATTTGACGAGTGAGGCAATTTTTGATAAGGCGTATTTACTCAAATGGTATTTATATCAGAATATTTAAAATAAGATTGAAGTTGACTTCAGAATATTAAAAATTAACCCAGTCAGATATATGTAAATTAACTTTTTTGATACCACAGAATGATGAATTGCATTATCTTTCATATATGTTCTGCTCTAGTGATGTTAAGTATTTGTCCTTATTTGTATCCTGAAGTACTCGCCCAGTTGTATTTGAAACTTTCATAAAATATAATATTGAAACATAATGCATGCTATTAGTTTAGCAACAGGAGGTTGAATAAATGTACTTTTTTAGTTTGTGTTTCTAATAAAAAAGTAATTTTGATTTAAATTAGCGCTATCTTTTTTTTTAGGCCTCCATTCCTTTGAAGGAATTGGAGCAGTTTAACTCAGATATACAAAAATTGCTTGAACCACTGGAGGCTGAAATACAGCAGGGGGTGAATCTGAAAGAGGAAGACTTCAATAAAGATATGGTAAATTGGTTGTGATAAAAGTGTGAATGAACTAGGAGTGAAAATGAGTAAATATTTGGAAAGAAATTAAATAACTCGTCTCCAACTGAATTCTCACAATATGCTTTGCACAGTGATTGTTAGGGATGCAAAGAATTCTTCTTGATGTTTTATTACAAATGTAAAATCATGATGGTGCGGTCATCTAAGAGGACTCCCAGAACCTGAATAAATAGTTCAACTTTGTTTTTACCTATGCTATTTTTAAATTCAGAGAGCAAAAAAATGTAATAAAAATAGTCAATCAGAAAATAAAGTAGAAATTTAATAAAAAATTTAACTATCATAAGTATCTCTTAGTGTGTGTGAATCAGGATTTAGGTTATAGAAATTGAAATTTTTCACACCAGGTAAACAGTGCTTACTAAAGTTTTCCACAAAGTATTTTTTAGTAAAACGTCGAGTAAATAGTACAATTAATGTCTAAAATACTTATGAATTCATGCTGCTTATTTCATGAGAGTAAAGAATGAGCTATAAGTTAACATTCTCCTTCAACCGCAATTAACCTCAAAATAGCATTCATATTTCTCTCTGGCTTGAATATTTCTGCATCACATCCCTATTCACTGATTTCTTTATTCTCCTTTCAACCTTTCCACAATTTCTTTATTCCTCCATCACTGCCATTTACCCGAGTGGCATTCTTAACCTTTATCTGTATCTTGGTAGAGATTTTCAGGGATTTATTAATGTTAGACACTACACAGACAATACTTAAAACTACCTGAGATTATTCAGCATGAGAAGTAATACAAAATATAATTCTACTCACCCCTCTTGGTTGCAACAGGTGTCAATTCTGACTTCCTGAAACTCATTTTTCCCTTGTATGGGGGTTGGTGGCCTTGCCAACTCAGCTCATGGAAAGAAAGGCAAGAAGCTGAGTACCATCTACCTCTACTTCCTATCAAAGAAGAAAGCAGAGAGCATCAAAGTGAAAAAGTGCTGTTTACCTCTTGGACTAACCACCAACCCTGCCCTAGAGGCCTTACCTGGTTAAAATTAATGAAATGGGTTTTCCTGTATCAGTGTTTTTTTTTTTTGTTTTGTTTTGTTTTTATCTTAACCCTAGAAAATACTGCAGACTTTTAAAAGGCATATTAAAATAAGTTCTTTGATAGATTATAAATCTACTCCTATGTTTCACATTTAATTAATTATTAATAAACAAATCTCTGGAAAATTTTCATTTCTTTTATACAAAATGAACAGGTCTTTGTGTAATGAATTTTAAGCATAGATTGTATATATAACTATATTACTTCTAATACTATAAAAATAATACACATATATGCATTTATGTAAATAAAAGTAGTCATTTATCCTTAGCACATGAATGAATATACCACACATACCATTGTGTGATGAACTTCCTAAATAGAAAGACTACATATCTCAAATTGAAATATAAAAAACCTGGGATGAAAAATCCAAGTATATGACAATGGTACTTACTCAAATTATTTTATTTCTAAGTAAGTATAATGAAAAATATTTTTTCTTGAGGTATCAAAGAACAAAATGGACAATTTTGGACAAAATGGATAAAATTGAATAAATTTGAATATACTTTCCCATCTATATTCAGTATTTATGTGGTCTAATTTGTTTAAAATGAACATAAGTGACATATGGTAGGCATTAATTCATTGCAATATTTGACAGCAATTTTAGCACATCATTTTTGTTAATACACCATGTCCTCAATTTTGATATTTAACTTGGAAATATAAAGCAAATATTACTATATAAAATTTGATGACATTTGAAACAGTACTAACATGGTAATATTTTAACACTGTTACCATTTCATAGAAACAGATACACTTCCATATCCCCAATGGATCAGTTAACACTGCAGTTGAAAAAATTAATTACATCTCTGAACCTTTGACATTCTAGAACTGTTCTAAAAGTCAATGCCAAACAATGTTTTTACAATAATTCCCAACTTAACTGATGATAAAATTCCTTCTTTTCCCATCTTCTTGCATATGCCCCTAAAATGTGTTCTTTATAAGTGGATAGGAGGATGCTTCCTTCTTTTACATCGAAAGTACTAAATATATTTTAAAAATTAGCCTAGTATCATATAATAACATTCCCTGAGATTTGAAATTGGATTTTGTGTGTGTTTAAATGATATGTTTTATTATGTTAACAATGTACAGCTTTTTAAAAACCAAAATGAAGACTGTACTTGTTGTTTTTAATCAGAGTGAAGACAATGAGGGTACTGTTAAAGAATTGTTGCAAAGAGGAGACAACTTACAACAAAGAATCACAGATGAGAGAAAGCGAGAGGAAATAAAGATAAAACAGCAGCTGTTACAGACAAAACATAATGCTCTCAAGGTATTAGAGCTAAAATTATAATATACCTTGCCTGTGGTTTTGCTTTTGTATGTAGGGTAAAATATATTATGCATAAATAAAATCTGCTTAAGAGTCTTAGTCAACAAAAAAAATCACTATTTTCCCTTCAATATATGTACTTTAACATTTTTATGTGTCTTTTGGTTTTGAGAGGTGTCTCACTTAAAAGTTTATTTTTTTGTTGTACAGATTTTTAGGAATAATATTAGAAGATGTCAAAATACATCACACATTTACATACTTTATATTATGTTTTATTTTTCAACTATTTTGTTTGTGCTGAAAAACTACCCTAATGGCCAGAATAACCAATCCATACTTTTCCTCTGTTTTTACTTCCTTTCATCAATTTCATTTATACTAGGTCTGGATTTTCGCTAATGTGATCCTTGATTAATAAGGCCTGGATTTTTAAAATAAACTTTTTTTCCTGCTTTTAAAGTTATTCTTTGCAACTAACTAAACATCTGCAAGAGTTTAATTTCTTTTATATAGGAATCCTCAAAAGCATTTGTCATTCCATCGAACATGAACTATCCCTTTATATTAAGCAAGGATAGCGTATGTCTTCGAGTACCCACATGAGTCATCGGGATCTTAAAGGAAGAACAGAATAAACTGTCAATGATGCTATCTAGACAGTTCTTGAGATCCTCTGTGGACATGTGAAAAGATCTGTGAAATAACACTTCTGTATGTGTAAATGCTTTGCAACATTCACTATTTGCATGCCTGGCTGATTTTCTAATGCTGTTAATTGCCAAGCTTTTCATTGTAAATCATTCTTTTGGAGCTATGGAGCTGTGTAGGTAGATCCACCTACTAGGTGATGGAGTCTGCTTTCTATATGCAAATAAGAAGATAAACCTTTTTCCCTATAGTCAACCAAATAAACACTGCTGAGAATGTAATTACACAATATTGTGCCTGCCAGGAATCCACAAGGAAAGTCTAATTGGCCAGCAGGTGTTCTGAAGATAACTGCTGATATATATAGTAAATAGAAAAGACCTGTTCCTTGAGTGGAGTACAAAAGCAAACCATAATGTATATTTTTTTTAAATCAGAAAGCTGTGTAATCCATACTCTTCTGACTGTGATCAAGCCTGTGGAAGCATTTGCATTAGTCATATATCTCTCCTACTGAACAGCACTTTTTTATGATTATCTGGGACACACAAAATAATCTGTGTGATATCTGTAAATATTTATACGTATTACACATTACCTTGTTCTTAGCAAGAAAAAAGGGATTCATACTTGGGACCAATGAACTGCTTTTCTTGACAATGATGAGTTGAATCATGAGTAAGGCATGGTCAACTCTTATTCGCATAGCTGTATCATAATACCTTTGAAAAAAGCAGCAGTTATTACCTCCAGACAGTTATTACCTCCACAGGAGATTTAGAAATGCTACAATAAAGAATAAACTGCAGTAAATTTTATAGTCCAATTTTAAGCAAAATGGAGACTGAACTCTAGATCATTCTGGCAAAACAGTATGTTTCAAGTGATTAATTGCCAAACCAATTTATAACACCAAATTCAGTTATTGTGTTAAACTGGTAATTAGTTACAATTCTAGTTGGTATGAAGTAATTAAAAGGTCAGAATGAATTTTCAGCCATTCTTTGCTATTATTTATTTTTACTCCAGATAAATTTCTATATGAGATCCTAATTGTTAACTCTTTAAAGAAATGAAAGGTGTGGACAGACCCTTTATGTTCCCAAAAGTTAGAAAATGGCATTTCAACTAATTCTATTGATTAGGGAGCCAGTTGAACATTCTTGTAGTAGCAAGATGATTGATTTTTCCTACTTTCTTAATTATTTAAATCATTTTCCTATATTTATCTCATTAAGTTGATTTAAAAGCCACACCTTTTCTTTTCTCTTTTTTTTAATGTAGTTCTTCTTACATTTGGAAAATCATTTAGCTTAGTAAGTTTTGTAACCCTTGAATTAAATGTGTTTTTCTAATATTTAAAGAGTTCTTTTAATACTCCCAGCTATATGAACAAAGTGGATATATCTATATAGCTTTGCACAGTTTAATTTAAATGGCTTCTTATTTGTTGTTGTTGTGCCAGTACTGGGTCTTGAACTCAAGGTCTCATACTGTTGCATTGATTTTTAGCTCAAAGCTGGTACTCTACCACTTGAGTCATACATCTCCTTCTGGCTTTTTGCTGGTTAATTGGAGTGAAGAGTGTCCCATATGTGTCTGCATGTACTAGTTTCATATGGAAACAGGATCCTTAGATCTCAGCTTCTGAGTTGCTAGCATTACACTTATGAGCCAACAGTGTTAAGCTGATGTGTATTTTTAATCACACAATATTAAGAGCCTAACTCATACAAGCATTTCCAAAACCATGAAAATATGTTGTCTATATAAACTTAACTTTGTTGATGAGCTTAGTATTGAACATATAAATTTTGCAACTATATATATTTTAAAAATCAAATATGAACCATTTTTATAATTACCTAGATTAGACTACTGTATTCATGTACTAAACTATTACATAGACTACACAATAACTTAGTGAATTCATTACGACTCAGTCAAATATGACAGCATTCTAAGCAAGTTTGAACATGCCAGAAGAAAATATGTTGTGATGTGTTGTTTAGTTTTCTTTGCTTCTGTTTATTGGTCTTAACACTTAATGCATAAGTTAATCATTTATTTATGTCTTATGTATTTCAAGTGATTTAAACAAAAATGTGAAGGACTCAAAGTATTTTCATAAATAACTGTAGCCAGAAATATACTATACATATATGTATTGATATGTTAATAATATCTGCACCATGAACAGGATTTGAGGTCTCAAAGAAGAAAAAAGGCTCTAGAAATTTCTCATCAGTGGTATCAGTACAAGAGGCAGGCTGATGATCTCCTGAAATGCTTGGATGACATTGAGAAAAAATTAGCCAGTCTACCTGAACCCAGAGATGAAAGGAAAATAAAGGTAATGTTGTTTTAGAATGTCAATACTAGATCTTACTGCTAGAGTTTAACTACTTTAACTTAACATGTGAGGATCCTGTTTAAAATATTTGTGTTCTTGTTTCCTCTATTAATGTTCTCTTTGATTTGATGCATTTCTTTGTATTGTGTTTTGTTGTAAATGTATTACATGTTATTCAATTGACAATATTGTTAAATGAATAAAATGTTTTGCTTTTAGAATGTGTACAATGAAATTAAGAAATGTTATGTGTTTTCTGGTAAAATTGTAATTGACTTTGTGTATCTTTGTTCCAGATGAACTAATGACTTATCGGTATATGGACGACTTCTTTCTCATGTTAGCACATTCATTTCATCAGAGCATCTTCATACATCACTGTCAAATTTCAATAGATTATTTGCATATTGTCTGAAGATTTTTTTGTTATTACTTTACACTTTTTATTTTGCTTCATTTTGTGTTGAGTGCCTCAGTCCTTGAAAGACTTAGTTCCTTGACCTCTAAACTATATTCTATCTGGAGAGTTCCAAATAAATAAGGACTAATTACTCCAACTTGGGTCAACCCCTAAACCAGCAGAGGAATTCAGTAGAGGGAAAAATGTTAGCTCAATATGAATTACTATTTTAATCAGAATGTCTGAAACTGAGCATTCAAATGATAACTGAAATAATATTTAGATTATCGGGGGAGATGACACGGACACCTTCCATTCTTATACACTTTGGAAGATGACAATGAAGGACCAATAGCCTTTGAAATTTCTCAGACAGATATTTGCTGCTTATAGGTCGGTTGATGTGGTTAGCTAACTGCCCTGGGCCCTGTATTGGTTTTGCTTACTAGGAAATTGATCGGGAATTGCAGAAGAAGAAAGAGGAGCTGAATGCAGTACGTAGGCAAGCTGAGGGCTTGTCTGAGGATGGGGCCGCAATGGCAGTGGAGCCAACTCAGATCCAGCTCAGCAAGCGCTGGCGGGAAATTGAGAGCAAATGTGCTCAGTTTCGAAGACTCAACTTTGCACAAATTGTGAGTTGTTATTGGCAAACCCACATAAGTATTTGCATCTACTGCTCTATTAACAGCGGCCTACTAACAGCAACATGAAAACTCTGGGTTCAATTTCAAAGTTCTAGTTGTGCATTCTGAAAATGAGTAGTTTCCCCTCACTTGGGGCTTCTATAACACTAGAGCTTAATTTTGAAGAGTAAAGACCTATGGAAACAGTAGCTGATAGGAAAATCTCCCTTATCAAAAATGAAAACACATTTTAATTTTTTTTGCTGCATCATTTTTCATGACATTGGCAATGTGAATTTGTCAATTTACCATACATTTACTTTACTTCTGTGTCTAATCCAGAAATCTGTACTGCTTTCCTGAGATCATCCCATGCTAATTTTACTTTCTTCCTGTATACACAGTAAATAATAAATATGATGTGAAACAGCTTCTTATGTCAATCTACAAAGTGCCTTACCTCACTGACTGAAAGAATAACAGTTTTATCTTTATACCTGGCTTAACTATTTAGTGAGTCACAGTGCCTCTTAGAAGAATTGGATGTCCAGTAAGTTGCAAATCAACAGCAGACTGAATATCAACTAATGGCATTAGCCAAAGACAGAAAAATGTTCATTTTAAACAACTGAATGGAAAGTTTATGGTTTATTCTTTAAAGACACTTCAAAATTGTGTGTTCTTATTTTTTTAAATATGTAATTGGGCATAAACTAGATTCATGGCTTTTTTTGTTCCTATTTCAAGTTCTCCTAAGGTAAGAGGAATGGTTACCATCTGTAATTATCCAAGAATGTGCTCCTCACAAAACCAGGATGTAAGCTTCTGGAAAATTAAAAAACAAAATTAAAACAACTATACTCATTTTAGGTTGAATTATATGAAACAGTTATTCAACCATTTTTCCTTATGCAAATACAACTGCATTTGGTTTGGCCCACTAATGAGACTATATGGGAAATTCTTTTGTGGTATTTTTTATTGCCTTTTATACAATGTTTATATTTTATAAATTTTAGGTATATTGTAAATATACCTAAAATTAACTATTTTAGAAACACATAAGGGGAAATAAGCTGCATATTATTAGTTCCTTTTTACATTTTTAAGAAAATTCATGAATACAAAGTCCAATGCTCTGAAGTTTAATAGGAGCTGAATATCCTGAGCAAATTGAAGAAAAAAAACATAAGAAATGTTAGCTATATGTTATACTTTATGTCTATTTCTAACTGCTTGAGCATTTCAGCCTATTATCCTTCATATTAGTTCTTAGGAATATAACATATCATAAATCATTCAGAAATCCTGTGTCTGTACATACAAAATGAAATGAAAGATTAAGGCATAAGAAAAATACTAGTGAAATGATTTTGCCTTGATTTAATAGGATATTTACAAGGAAGTCATTTGTTTTGAATTTAACTCAATTCCTCATTTCATTTTTTTTCTTTCTTGACATACCAAATATACAGGATTAAAATCTGTTACATTCTACTTAATTACTAATGCTTTACAATTAAACAGACACAGGATCCAAACTCTCCATAAACCACCATATGTTCTTTTACTGAGTAGACTCTCAGCAAATATTTTTTTAGAACACAATAATTGTATGAAATAATAAACTATGTGAATCGGTATAATTTTAAAATAAATTATAGATAAATACTAAGATATATTTTCCTCATAAAACAGTCTCAACTTTTATATATGAAACAGTTAAGCCTCAAGTTTGGGTGAGGACTATTTTTATGTTAATATTAGGTTGTATATCATAGCAGAAACAGAATATATATGAATTACAATCAAATTATTATGGTTTTTTATATGAGATTTGATTTTAGTTAGAACTGAATGCAGGTAGATAGGGAGATCTGTAGTTGCATTAATAATCACATAAACAACTATAAATTGCAGCATCTAAGATGCTTCTTTATACTTTATACTTCACTCATTGCTAATATATTTTAAAAACTTATTTCACTGTGACTACTAGAGATTTCTTTTCCACTATTTTGTCAATGGAGTCATCTGTGAGATCCACAAGCAAACAGCCTCTTGTGAATTTGTGTTTGTAATAATGCTAACATGGTCCTGATAGTGTACAGATTATCATAGCATTCTTCACTATTTGTCACATTTTGATTTCTCCTAAATGTCTCTTCCTATTCTTTCTAGATACAAAACCTAGATTTGTAGCTAGTCTTTCACATCGTGACTGCAGCAATGGTAGTTAATAAAAATAAAAAGTCACACCTGTGATCCCAGCTACTCAGGAGGCTGAGATCTGAGGATCACGGTTCAAAGCCAGCTCTGGCAGGAAATTCTGTGAAACTCTTAGCTCCAATAAACCACCATAAAACCAGAAATGGCGCTATGGCTCAAGTGGTAAAGAGCTAGCCTTGGGCGGAAATGCTGAGGGACAGAGCCAAGGCCCCATGACCGACAAAAAAAAAGAGTGATGTCCTTAGCATTTGAGAGCTGAGTTTACAATGAGAGCTTAGTTTTCCTTCTTTCAGGGATACAGATTCAGAAATTCGGCTAAGCACTAGAAATTGAATGGACTTAGGGGACTAAGTCCATATTAAAGTTATATGTGGATTTAGTGAAATACCAAAAGAACTTGGATTTTGTCTAAGGAAATCTTGATGCCAGGCAAGAGTACAGACAAATGAAGAGAAGAGTATATCTTCAAATGTTGGTTCTCCTGGCAAAACAAAACAAAACAAAAATGGACACAATAAAGAAGGAACAACAGAGTGGGGGAAAACAGGTAAATGTTCCTACATATGCTTAGTATAAGAAAACTCTTGCCCACCATTTTTATTCATTTTTGGCTGGTTTTAGATTCTCAAGAGTGAGTGTTAGCTGTAAACTGAACTTAGGGAAGTTTTCTTCAGGTTGTATTACCACAGCAGTGTGGGCTAGTAGAAAAAACATGGCCTAGAAGGAATCCAGCACTGAAACGGGCATATTATCTTTTAAAGCATATGATGGTTATGCGCGCTTAACAGAATGAGGCTTGCTATGTCCCATTTATCTTAAAGATTATCAACAAGAAATATGTGATATTTTGAACAAGATAAATTACAAGTTGGTTACTATAATCCATGGACACATAGTCTTGTCTAGATTTAGAGAATAATTGTAGGAATCCCTGCAATGCTGGTGACTATCAATAAGGGCATGATTCTTTGTAAATTTGCTGACAGAGCTCCATCTGAATTTTTGTCTTCTATTTTAAGGTAAAGAATAAGCTAAGAATAAAAAATAAAGCCTCTTAAACTTCTAGAAAACAATGTGTGTTTTTAGTAAGCTTAATATAGTATTTGGCCATTAAACTCAGCCCAAGTAAACACAATGAAAAGGTTGCACAATAAGGATCCCATCAAAATCAGAGGCTTCCTTGGAACTCCTAAACAAAATAAAATATCAGACTAAATAAGAAGACTTGTGAAAAGTCACCATTTTATAAATAATAATTTCAGATAATAAATGAATAATGTGTGTACACAATAATGAAATAAAATACCAGAGGGAAGTGTAAAAAGACATGAAAGAAAATACTTTTTAATGTTTAAATACAATAAAGCATAGAAGGTATTTTCCTAATAAAGACAGGCAATGTTGAAAAAAAATAACAAGAAGTCTTGTGAAAAATGATCTAGAAATAATGCAATAGTTTGAAACAAATGTCTATTTCAAAAGCAGATTTATAGTAGAAAAATATATGAACTTGAAGATGCTGAGAAACTAGTTGCCTTGCTGAAAGTTCTAGAAAAAAAATGATGAAAAGCTCAAACATACATACTGAAAGAGTTCCAGGCTCTAAAAGTGGAAAGCATGAGGCTGCAACACTATTTTATATAAATGAATGTTTCATAAAATTGGATAATTTTGGGCTGGGAAGGTGGCTCAGTGGTAGAGTGCTTGTCTTGCATGCATGAGGCTCTGGGTTCGATTCCTCAGTACCACATAAGCAGAAAAAAAAAGGCCGGAAGTTGCGCTGTGGCTCAAGTGGTAGAGCACTCACCTTGAGCTGAAGAGCTGAGGGACAGCGCCCAGGCCCAGAGTTCAGGCCCCACAACCGGACCAAAAAAAATAAATAAATAAATAAAATAAAATTGGATAAATTCAAATTGACACAAGTCTGCACACTGAATAAAGTTTACCAGTGGGGAGAAAATAAATGTGAAACCCCACTAAGCCAGCCTTACTTGGTGCTCAGAATACCGAATGAACAAGTGTCATAGAAGCTATCAAAGACAAAAGAGATAATCTTCAATGATGACAATAGTCAAATGAGACATTTCATCAATAATAGATATTAGAATACAGAAGATGTTGAAAGACCTTCAAGACGTTAGACAACTTTTCAAATATATGTTAAAGTGTTTTAAGAGAAAAGGTAAAAATAAAGAAGAAAGTATATAATTCATGCTTAACCGTACTGAAAGAATTATTGAACATTTACTTTTGTAAAAAATAGAAAAAGGGAAAAATATAGAAGAAAGCATAGAGCAATAAATATCAGTATAAAGTTATTTTTCTTAACCAGTGAAGAATATTTCAAACAATATCTTCTGATTACTAAAATGTTGGTAAGTGCTGGAAAGGAAAAACAATACTATGAGAATGTTAAAAGTTATTTGACTACCACATAAATGCTACCACAAATTCGAGATTTGTAGGTTGTACCAACAAATATAAAACTTGCACATAATGGATTCAGTATGAGTTATTGCCAATTACCATGTTTCTGGAGAGCAAAAAAATATAGTCAGGTTTTAGAATAACCATACAGGTACTGATCCCAGTAAGGGTAAAGAAAACAAGTACAAATGATATCTTAGGGGAAAAGGGAAAGAAACTTATCTAAGTATAGCTCCAACTACTCTGAATATTTTATGACAACAAACACAAAGAATATAATGCAGACATTCAGCATTTAGTGTTCATCAACTCATTCAGTTTCTTATCTCAGATGCACTAGTAGATATCTTATA